TCTCGGGTCCATTTCGGCGCACCCCTCACACGGTTCGTGGCCCCACAGGGGGCGCAGCCGAAGGTTTTCGCGGCCCCACAGGGGGCGCAGCCGAAAGCTTCGGGCCAATTTCGGCGCACCCCTCACACGGTTCGTGGCCCCACAGGGGGCGCAACCGAAGGCTTTCGTTGCCCCACAGGGGGGGCAACCGAAGGCCTCGGGCCCATTTCGGCGCACCCCTCACACGGTTCGTGGCCTTACACGGAGCGCAACCGAAGGTCTCGGGTCCATTTCGGCGCACCCCTCACACGGTTCGTGGCCCCACAAGGGGCGCAGCCGAAGCTTTTCGCAGCCCCACAGGGGGCGCAGCCGAAAGCTTCGGGCCAATTTCGGCGCACCCCTCACACGGTTCGTGGCCCCACAGGGGGCGCAGCCGAAGGTTTTCGCGGCCCCACAGGGGGCGCAACCGAAGGCTTTCGCGGTCCATTTCGGCGCACCCCTCACACGGTTCGTGGCCCCACAAGCCCGCAACCGAAGGTCTCGGGTCCATTTCGGCGCACCCCTCACACGGTTCGTGGCCCCACAGGGGGCGCAGCCGAAGGCTTTCGCGGCCCCACAGGGGGCGCAACCGAAAGCTTCGGGCCCATTTCGGTGCACCCCTCACACGGTTCGTGGCTCCACAGGGGGCGCAACCGAAGGCCTCGGGCCCATTTCGGCGCACCCCTCACACGGTTCGTGGCCTTGCAGGGGGCGCAACCGAAGGTCTCGGGTCCATTTCGGCGCGCCCCTCACACGGTTCGTGGCCTTACAGGGGGCGCAACCGAAGACTTCGGACCCATTTCGGCGCACCCCTCACACGGTTCGGCGCCCCACAAAGGGCGCAACCGAAGGCTTCGGGTCGATTTTTGCGCGCCCCTCAAACGGCTCGTGGCCGCACAAGGGGCGGAACCGAAGGCCTCGGGCCCATTTCGGCGCACCCCTCAAACGGTTCGTGGCCGCACAAGGGGCGGAACCGAAGGCCTCGGGCCCCACAGGGGGCGCAACCGAAACCCTCGGGTCCATTTCGGCGCACCCCTCACACGGTTCGTGGCCGCACAGCAAGCGCAACCGAAGGCATCGGGTCCATTTCGGCGCACCCCTTGCACGGTTCGTGGCCCGACAAGGGGGCGCAGCCGAAGACTTCGGGCCCATTTCGGCGCCCCTCACACGGTTCGTGGCCGCTTACAGGGCGCAACCGAAGGCTTTCGCGGCCCCACAAGGGGCGCAGCCGAAAGTCTCGAGTTCATTTCGGTGCACTCCTCACACATCGTGGCCCCACAGGGGGCGCAACCGAAGGTTTCGGGTCCATTTCGGCGCACCCCTCACACGGTTCGTGGCCCCACACGGGGCGCAACCGAAGGCTTTCGCGGCCCCACAGGGGGTGCAACCGAAGGCCTCGGGTCCATTTCGGCGCACCCCTCACACGGTTCGTGGCCCCACAGGGGGCGCAACCGAAGGCTTCGGGCCCATTCCGGCGCACCCCTCACACGGTTCGTGGCCCCACAGGGGGCGCAACCGAAGGCTTTCGCGGTCCATTTCGGCGCACCCCTCACACGGTTCGTGGCCCCACACGGTGCGCAACCGAAGGCTTTCGCGGCCCCACAGGGGGCGCAACCGAAGGCTTCGGGCCCAGTTCGGCGCACCCCTCACACGGTTCGTGTCCCCACAGGGGGCGCAACCGAAGGCTTCGGGTCCATGTTGGCGCACCCCTCACACGGTTCGTGGCCCCACAGGGGGCGCAACCGAAGGCTTTCGCGGCCCCAGGGGGGCGCAACCGAAAGTCTCGGGTCCATTTCGGCGTACCCCTCAAACGATTCGTTGCCCCACAGGGGGCGAAACCGAAGGCTTCGGGCTCATTTCGGCGCACCCCTCACGCGGTTCGTGGCCTCACACGGGGCGCAACCGAAGGCTTTCGCTGCCCCACAGGGGGCGCAGCCGAAGGCCTCGCGTCCATTGCGGCGCACCCCTCACACGGTTCGTGGCCCCACACGGGGCGCCACCGAAGGCTTTCGTTGCCCCACAGGGGGGGCAACCGAAGGCCTCGGGCCCATTTCGGCGCACCCCTCACACGGTTCGTGGCCTTACACGGAGCGCAACCGAAGGTCTCGGGTCCATTTCGGCGCACCCCTCACACGGTTCGTGGCCCCACAAGGGGCGCAGCCGAAGCTTTTCGCAGCCCCACAGGGGGCGCAGCCGAAAGCTTCGGGCCAATTTCGGCGCACCCCTCACACGGTTCGTGGCCCCACAGGGGGCGCAGCCGAAGGTTTTCGCGGCCCCACAGTGGGCGCAACCGAAGGCTTCGGGTCCATTTCGGCGCACCCCTCACACGGTTCGTGGCCACACAGGGGGCGCAACCACATGCTTCGGGCCTATTTCGGGGCACCCCTCACACGGTTCGTGGCCCCACAGGGGGCGCAACCGAAGGCTTTCGCGGCCCCACAGGGAGCGCAACCGAAGGTCTCGGGTCCATTTCGGCGCACCCCTCACACGGTTCGTGTCCCCACAGTGGGCGCAACCGAAGGCTTCGGGTCCATTTCGGCGCACCCCTCACACGGTTCGTGGCCCCACACGGGGCGCAACCGAAGGCTTTCGCGCCCCCACATGGGGCGCAGCCGACGGCCTCGGGTCCATTGCGGCGCACCCCTCACACGGTTCGTGGCCCCACAGGGCGCGCAACCGAAGGCTTCGGGCCGATTTCGGCGCACCCCCCAAACGGTTCGTGGCCCCACACGGGGCGCAACCGAAGGCTTTCGCTGCCCCACAGGGGGCGGAGCCGAAGACTTGGGGCCCATCTCGGCGCGCCCCTCACACGCACGGTTCGTGGCCCCACAGGGGGCGCAGCCGAAGGCTTTCGCGGCCCCACAGGGGGCGCAACCGAAGGATTCGGGTCTATTTCGGCGCACCCCTCACACGGTTCGTGGCCCCACAGGGGGCGCAACCGAAGGCATCATTCCTAGAGATCCATAGGGTTCCGACAGATTCTTAGGATTCCCATAGATTTTTCGGATTCCTAGAGATTCCTACGAACCCGAGAGAGTCTTAGGATTTCATAGATTCCTATTATTTCCAGAGACCCATACGATTCCCAGAGATTCCTAGGATTCCTAGAAGTTTTTTGGACTCTTACATATTCCTAGGGTTCCTAGAGATTCTTATGATTCCCAAAGATTCCTGGGATTCCCAAAGATTCCTAGGATTCCTAGAGATTCCGATGATTCCCAGTGATTCTTAAGATTCTTGGAGATTCTCAGGATTCCCAGAGATTCCTAGGATTCCCATAGATTCCTAGGATTCTTTAAGATCCCTAGGATTCCCAGAGGTTTGTAGGATTCCGAGAGATTCCTAGGATTCCCAGAGATTCGTGGGATTCCCAGAGATGCTTTGGATTCTTAGAGATTCTAGGGTTCCTAGAGATTCTTATGATTTCAGAGATTTTTAGAAATTTCCAGAGATTCCTAGGATCCCGAGAGATTCCTAGGATTCGCAGAGGTTCTTCTGATTCCCAAAGATTCCTCGGATTCCTAGAGATTCCTACGATTCCAGAGATTCTTAGGATTTCCAGAGATGCGTAGGATTCCCAGAGATTCCTCGGAATCCCAAAGGTTCTGAGGATTCCCAGAGATTCTTAGGATGCCCGGAGACCCTTAGGATTCCCAGAGATTCCTTGGATCAGAGATTCGTAGGATTCCAAGAGGTTCGTAGGATCACCAGAGATTTTCAAGAATCCCAAAGATTTCAATGGATGCCTAGAGATTCGTAAGAATGTCAGAGATTCTTAGAATCTCTTAATATTCTTAGGATTCCAAGAGATTCAAAGGCTTCCAACAGATTCATGGGATTCCCAGAGATTCGCAGGATTCCTAGGGATTCCTAGGGTTCCCAGAGTGTCCTAGGATTCCCAGAGATTCCTGGGGTCCCCAGAGATTCTTAGTATTCCAAAAGATTCACAGGATCACCAGAGATTCGTAGGATTCCGAATGAATCCCAGAATCCCCAGAGATTCAGAGGATGCCTAGAGATTGCTAGGATTCCCATAGATTCTTAGGATCCCCAGAGACTCGTAGGATTCCCAGAGATTCCTAGGATTCCCAGAGATCCTTAGGATTCCAACAGATTCTTAGCACTCCCAGCGATTTTTATGATTCGGATGGGTTCCTAGGATTCCAACATATTCTTAGGATTCCCAGAGATTCCTGGGATCCCGAAAGATCCGTAGGTTTCCTAGAGATCCTTAGGATTCCTAGAGATTCCTAGGATTCCCGGAGATTCTTAGGATCCCCAGAGATTCTTAGGATTCTTAATGATTCCAAGGATTCCGAGAGAGTCGTAGGATTCCCAGAGAATCTTAGGATTCCCAAAGGTTCTTAGGACTCCCAGAGATTCATAGGATTCCTAGAGGTTTCTTGGATTCCCACACATTCCTAGGATTCCGAAGGGTTCCTAGGATTCCAACAGATTCCTGGGATTCCCAAGGAGGTTCGTAGGACTCCCAGAGTTTCTTAGGATTTTTAAAGGTTTCTTGGATTCCCACAGATTCTTAGGATTCCGAGAGATTCTTAGGATTCCCAAAGATTCCTAAGGTTCCCAGAGATTCTTAGGATTCCCAGAGATTCCTAGGATTCCCAGAGGTTCCTAGGATTCCCAGAGATTCCTAGGATTCCCAGAGATTCCGCCTCCAGGCTGAGAATCACACACACACGCACACACACACACACACGATCTGTCACCGCACCGTGTTGGGACCCCCAATTAATTGTTGCAACACATGTCTTTCGGATATCACGGAAGGTTCCGCTCGCTTTGGATTGAATGTGCATATGCGCAAACCGCCCGACGGTTCCAATAACACCAAAGAGCCGTTCCGTAACCATTTCGGTTCAAGATCTTTGTCGTTGCGAAAACATGTCGCACAATTCGAGCACCATTAGTTGCTCTGCAACCCGTTCCAGCAGTTCCCACTTGGCACGTCCATCGGAATCGCAATGGCTCGCAAAAGGGCGCTCGTCGGCGAGTTCGTGGGCACCTTCCTTCTGATGTTTACCCTCGGCTGCAACGTCCTCAGCGGCACGGCAGCGGCGGGCAGTTCGATCGGTTTCTCCCTCATGGTCGGCATCTACGCCCTGGCAAAAGTTTCTGGAGCGAACTTCAACCCCGCTGTGTCTGTCACGCTCGGCCTCGTCGGCAAGTTGCCCTGGGCTGACGTCTTCCTCTACTCGTTGGTGCAGACGTTGGCGGGCGCGCTGGCGGGCATCCTCGCCCGCGCGATCTTCAAGAGCTCGGAGTTTGCCCTCGCCCTCGGGCCCGCGGATGGCTTCGAGTGGTGGCAGGCAGGCGTGTGTGAGCTCGTGTACACGTTCATGCTCTGCTTCGTCGTTCTCAATACTGCCTGCGCCGCGGCGAACGCGAGCTCTCAGTTCTACGGCCTCTCGATCGGCCTCGTGATCGTGGCGGGCGCGTTCGGGGCGGGCGCTGTCTCCGGGGGCTGCTTCAACCCCGCCGTGGCGTTCGGCGTCTACGCGGGCAGCCGCGGTCTTCAGATGTGTGTAGCATCCTATTCAGTCCGTATCAGATCTGTGAAGGATCGTATACAGTCCGTATCGGGTCTGTATAGAATCCGATACAGTCCGTATCGGATCTGTATAGGATCGTATACAGTCCGTATCGGATCTGTATAGGATCGTATACAGTCCGTATCGGATCTGTATAGGATCGTATACAGTCCGTATCGGATCTGTATAGGATCGTATACAGTCCGTATCGGATCTGTATAGGATCGTATACAGTCCGTATCGGATCTGTATAGGATCGTATACAGTCCGTATCGGATCTGTATAGGATCGTATACAGTCCGTATCGGATCTGTATAGGATCGTATACAGTCCGTATCGGATCAGTCCGTATCGGATCTGTATAGGATCGTATACAGTCCGTATCGGATCTGTATAGGATCGTATACAGTCCGTATCGGATCTGTATAGGATCGTATACAGTCCGTATCGGATCTGTATAGGATCCTATACAGTCCGTATCGGATCTGAATGGGATCCTATACAGTCCGTATCGGATCTGAATGGGATCCTATACAGTCCGTGTCGGATCTGTATAGGATCCTATACACGGACAGGACATTCTCACGGATCTGTACAGGTTCCTAAGGATCCCTAGGACATTCTCACGGATTCCTAGGACATTCCTAAGGATTCCTAAGAATTCCGAAGGATTCCCAGGTATTCCTAAAGATTCCTAGGAATTCCTTGCTTCGCCGGTGCACACATGCTTTTTGCCAGCAGGGATTCGTTGGTGCCAGAGAGGAGGTCCGCAGATGTTCACACAAATCGAATTCAATGGCGTTGTTGTGGGTGTTGTGGGGGGGGGGGGGGGGTCGTTGTTGTGGTTGTTGCCGGGGGGGGGGGTCCCGACGGTCGGCGCTGGCCGCCCTTGCCTTAAGGCCAGGGCGGCCAGCGCCGACCCGTGACGGGTCGGCGCTGGCCGCCCTTGCTTTGTTTGTGTTGTTGGTGTTGGTGTTGGTGTTGTTGTTGTTGTTGTTGTTGTTGTTGTTTTGTTGTTGGTTGTTGTTGGTTTTTGTTGGTTTGTTTTATAGGAGTATAGTAGTATGAGTCGTTAGAGTTACTAGAGTCGTAGTACAGTAGTAGTAGTAGTCGTAGTCAGTAGTCGTAGTCGTAGTCGTAGTCGTAGTCGTAGTCGTAGTCGTAGTCGTAGTCCGTAGTCGTAGTCGTAGTCGTAGTCGCAGTCGTAGTCGTAGTCGTAGTGTAGTCGTAGTAGTAGTAGTCGTAGTAGTAGTAGTAGTAGTAGTAGTAGTAGTAGTAGTAGTAGTAGTAGTAGTAGTAGTAGTAGTAGTAGTAGTAGTAGTAGTAGTAGTAGTAGTAGTAGCAGACGTAGTCGTAATTGTTGTTGTTGTTGCGGCTGCTGTTGTTTGTGTGTCGTTGTTGTTGTTTTTGATATTGTTGTTGAACTACCCCAAAGAATAATTATTGTTGATCCCCCCTCCGGAGTACATTGTGCTTTTTCAATCGAAGTGCCCTTCCCGGGGCTCGAACTCTGTTTTTTATCAGGGGAATTATTGAGTCTTTGAATTGGGTTGTCGGCCGCCAGTTTACAACAACAACAACAACAACCACAACGGATCCCGCCAGATATTTCTTCACAGTGTATTCCCAAATCGCGCTCTCGTACGGGACTTCCTCACAATTCGTACAGGAATCGCATTATCGCTTGCAATTTACATAGACGCCGCGCCCTCGACACTCAGGAATCACGCTCTCGCTGTGGATATCATCACGATTTATTTGGAAATCGCGCTATCGCTCATGAACTCCCTCGCGATTCATGCAGAACGCACGCTTCAGCAACCCGCCTGCTCGACCTGGCCGTCTGGGTCCGCCTTCCCGTCCAGCCCGTTAGGGTCTATCCGCCCGATCTGCCGTGTAGTTTTGCCACGTGTTTTCTCCTAGCCCCCCTCCTGCTACTCTCTCTCTCTCTCTTGCGCTCCATCCTTCTCCTTCCCCCTTGTCCCTTCCTTCCATCCGTCCTCGCTCCCCCTGCCTAATGGGCTGCACGCAGGACACGTTGCAGGCAAGACAGATGTATACCACCAACCAAGGGGGTACGATCGAGGACGAAGAGGGCGGGTTGCGAGGGTTGGGGATCTACGTGTTGAACGGCACGCGAGCAGATAAGAGCGACAAGTCTTAAACTGATTGTTGTTGCTGTTGTTGTTGCTGTTGCTGTTGCTGTTGCTGTTGATGTTGTTGTTGTTGTTGTTGTTGTTGTTGTTGTTGTTGTTGTTGTTGTTGTTGTTCCTGTTGTTGTAACTGAACTCCCAGTACTGCAGAAAGGTATTGGTGATCCCCCTCCTCCCGGGCACATTGTGCTTTTTGAATTGAAGTGCCCTTCCCGGGGCTCGCACCTGGTTATTTATGAGAGACGTATTGGGTCTCAGAAATGGGCCCTTGGCCCCGAGTTGCAACACCAACGGTTCCCGCCTGATATTTCTTCACAATGTATTCCCGCATCGCTTTCTCGCGCGGGGCGTCCTCACAATTTTTTTCACAGAAATCGCGCTCTCGCGTGGGACTTCCACGCAGTTTATTCAGATGCCGTGCCATCCACACTCAGGAATCACGCTCTCGCTTTGGCCTACTTCACAATTTACTTGGGAATCGCGCCATCGCTCGAGACTCGCAGTTCATGCAGGACGCACGCTTCAGCAATCCGCCTGCTCGATCTGGCCGCCTGGGCCCGCCTTCCCGACCCGCCCGACCCGCCCGCCCGATCTGCACGTCTGATTTTGCCACGTGTTTTCTGCTCCCAAGCCCTTGTCACCAAACTGTGCCCCTGGCCCCCGGTTTGCATCATTAACGGGTCCCGCCTGATTATTTCTGACAATTTATTATCAAATCGCGCTCTCGCGCGGGACCCCCTCACAATTGATACAGGAATCGCGCTCTCGCATGGGACTTCTTCGCAATTCATTCAGACGCCGCGCCCTCAACACTCAGGAATCACGCTTCCGCTCATTTTTTTTTTGATAATCGCGTTATCTCTCAAGACTTCCTTGCAATTCATGCAGGACGCACGCTTCAGCAACCCGCCTGCAGCTTGTCCCTTCCTTCCATCCGTCCTCTCTTCCCCTGGGGGCTGCACGAAATACAGTATGAGGGTGAGAACAATATACCCCTTAGGGGGTACGATCATAGACGAAGAGGGCGGGTATCGATGGTTTGGGAATCTACGTGTTAAATGGCACGCGAGCAGATAAAGGCGGGCAGGCTCAAACTGATTGTTGTTGTGTTGTGCCAGCAGAAGCCTCTGGGGACCTCCCGAAATGTCGGGAGACCCAGACCACTAGATCATCATCCCCTAGGATTTGTCGTAGTTTTCTGGGGCCAGCGGGCGTTTCTGAGTCCAAGAATGTCAGCGGGCGACCCATGACGACGAACTGACCCCGTGGATGGGGTCGAGAGTTCCACGGGCTGGCGACTCGAACAGATCTAGTCGTTGAGATGCTTGTGGCAGCTCTTCTCCTTCACCCCATTCAGGCCAGGAAGAAGGAGTGACGGAGGAATGGTTGATCCCCCCCTCGAGCTGTAGCTTTTCTTGGAACCCTCCAGAACGACATCGTCGTTTACATCGGAACGACATTTTGATCTGGCTGCGGTATTTCGAATTGTTGTCCTGCAGCACCGTTGCAGGATTCACTGCCGAACAATGTTTTGAGTCCTGCTTAGAGGTATGACGCGGAAGGCGAGGAGTACAATGAACATGATGACGATGACGTCGTGATAACGATGACGATGATGACGACGATGATGACGACGATGGCACCGACGACGACGGCGACGGCGGCGTCAGCTCCGCTTGCGGCAGCGGCGTTGACAACGACGATGAAGATACTGACGATGATGATGATGCCAATGCTGATTAGGATGCTGATGATGATGCTGCTGCTGATGATGATGATGATGGGGATGATGATGATGATGCTGCTGCTGATTATGATGCTGCTTATGATGATGCTGGTGGTGTTGATGTTGATAATGTTGCTGATGATGACGATTATGATGATGATGACGATGATGATCATGACGATTCTGATGATGGTGATGATGATACTTGTGCTGATGGTGATGGTGCTGCTGACGATGCTGATAATGTTGATGATGATTGTGCTGATGATGATGGTGCTGCTGCTGATGATGCTAGTGATGATGATGATGCTGATGCTGCTCATATGATGCTGATGCTCATGATGATGATGATGATTATGATGATGATGATGATGATGATGATGATGATGATGATGATGATGATGATGATGATGATGTTGATGATGATGTTGATGCTGATGATGTTGATGATGTTGAGGAGGAGGAGGAGGAGAAGGATGACGATGATGAGGAGGATTCCAATAATTGTGGTGATCGTGATGCTGAGGACAAGGAGGAGGAGGAGGAAGAGGAGAAGAGGTATTGTAATGAGGACGATGATGTAGGGTGGTGATTGTCATGATGACGAGGATGAGGAGGCCGCAGCAGCAACAGCAGCAAGATGACTGCCTCATAGCTTTCCGACTGTCCCTCTTGTTGTTCATCGTCAGTCAGTGCTGCTGCTCATTCTCCTCCGCCTTCTCCCTGCCCTCTGCTCCCTTCTCCTGTGTTCTGCTGTTGCTCCTTTTGTATATCTGTCTCTTCTGCCTCGTCGTCGTCGTCGACCTTCTCCTCCCTCTCCTCTCTCTCTTTCTCTCCTCCAATTCTTCTCTCCTCCCTCCTCCTTCCTCTCTCCCTCCTCCCTCGCTCCTCCTCTTCGCTCATCCCTCCCTCTCCGCCAGGCCTTCCCAGAGTGGTTCAAGGCGTTGGGGCCGCTGGAGCAAAACCTGTTCCAGAGCGGGCCGCATGACAACTTTGTTCTTCGTCGCGCACATGGCGGCGGCAGCTTCAAGTTCTCGAACCTGGACCCGATACACAAGGCCAGCCATCTTGTGGGACGGTTTTGGGGCCCCTGGGAGGCAATGCTGGGGGGCATCCCTCGGTCATCTCGGGCCGGATCCTGCGCTGTCTTGCAGGCAGTCCGGGGCGAATCAACTACATCCGGGCAGCGTGGGAGCCATCCGGGGCCGCCTGGGACGGTCTGCCTTGTCGCAAACTGCCCGTCCACACCCCCAGGGAAGTGGCAGGGGGGCAGGTTGGGGGAGTGCACGCAAGGGGGGGAGTGATGAGCTCTTCTTGAGGCGCTCCTTCCCGAATCTACGCCCAGGGGGCTGGATGTGCCTTCCCTGTTTTCGTCCTCGTGCCTGGCTTCGGCTTGAAGCCTTTGCGTGAGTTTATGCCGCGGGCGTGCAGCGTGCTGGTGTCAGGCTGATGGAAACGGAGAAGGAGGACGGAGAAAGGAGAAGGAGGAGAAGGACGAGAGAACGAAGCAGGAGACGGAGCAGGAGAAGGAAGAGGAGAAGAAGAAGAAGGAGGACGGAGAAAGGGAAGGAGGAGGGAGGTCAGATGCAGGGTGAGGGGGGGAGGGACGAGGAACGCTAACACAAGAAGGAAGGAGGAGGAAGGGCGGGCGGGAGCACTCGCGCTTGCAGCGCTTTTGACACATCGGCGGTGTCTGGGACGGGGGCGCTCCACTGCAGTGCGGGTTTCAACTTTTCGCTGGATCCTGACCGCAGTTTCTTGGGTGGGAGCATCCTGGAGCTTCTCGGGGACCTGGGCCGTGTAGGGTTCCAAAAGAGGAAACTACGGCTGCCAGTTGTCGCACAGGGTTCCCATGCGTGCCGGCAGCATGCTGATCTGGAACCAGCTGGTGGTGCATGGCAGCGTGGCCAACAACTCGAGAAATTTCAGGAGTGGCTGGACGGTGGTTGGGCGGAGGGCGCAAGCGTGTGGCAGCTTGCCAGAGGAGGACGTCCAAGGTCGACTCTGAAAGAGGATCCGCGGAGGTGTCGTCAAACCGTCCATCTCATGAGCACTTGCAGCCTCCTGGAAACAGCGGTGGCGCTGGAGAGAATGGATGTTTCGGTTCGTTCTTCGTCAGGTCTCCGCGTGCGAGCGCGCGTGTTTTTGTGCTTGTGTTTTTTTTTTTTGTGTGTGTGTGTGTGTTTGTGTGTGTGTGTGTGTGTGTGTGTGTGTGTGCGTGTGTTTGTGCTTGTGTGTGTGCGTGTGTTTGTGCTTGTGTGTGTGCGTGTGTGTGTTGTATGTGTGTGTGTGTGTGTGTGTGTGTGTGCATGTGCACGTCTCGCGGTGCGCGCGCTTTGTTCCCGCGCCCATCTTCTCCGGCCCCCTCGCTCTGCCCCGCCCCCTCTGCCGAGCTCTCACCGCCGCTGGAGCGCGCGCGTCTGCGCGGGTCGTGCAGTCGGTCAGTCGGCGGCCGCGTCCCGAGAATGCCGGACCCGCTTTGCGGCGGCGGAGGGTTGCGAGCGTGCGGCGCTGCGTCGCGCTGTGTCCACGCGGCCGCGACCCCGGCGCGGGCGGCCGAGGCTGAACGCCGCAGGTGGGCGCGGGAGCCTGCCGACATCGAGCGATCTGCGCCGTCGGAGGGCCGCGGCCGCTCAGTTTTGAAGGATCCGCGCGGCGTCGGGAGCCCACGCGGCGCCGGTTTCCGACGCCGCGCGATTCCTGCAGTTTTGCAGCGAAAAACTTGCGCGGCGGAGATCCTGAAGCTACATGAGCAAACCGTCCGCCAGAAGCTATGAGAACAGACGCTCTAGCGGCCAATCGTTGGAATCTGTACGGAATTCGGGTTGACCTAATAGGAGGTCCAGCTGAAAGGGTGTGGTGCAATAGATTTTGGGCAATTGCATTGCAAATGTACTGCGCCGGAGAACCGTATTGCATCGTATTGCAAGTGATGTGTTGCACGCGAGAATGTAGTAATACATCTGCGCCCCGAAACGTATTGCACGGCCCAGATGTATTGCAACCCCGCAAATCAATTGCACCACATCTCTTGCGCCACCCCCTTGTCGCTGGACCCCCTGTTGGGTCAGCCCGAGGACATGTCCCGTGGGCGTCTCCAGCAGCCACGGAGCCGCAGCGGAAGCCTCGGCGGAGCGCCGCGGGGGGCCCAAGAGAGGGGGCAGGGGCCTCCTCGGAGGACGGCGGGGCTCCCCGGGACCCCCCTGGCCTATTGAGAGGCCTCGTGGGCCTTCGGAGGAGGTTCGGGTATGGCCAGGGCCCCGGGCAGGGGGACCCGGTTCGTGGGAGGGCCCCGCCCGAGCCCCTGAACCGGCCAGAATCCCCAAACCAGGTTTGCGGGAGCTGGTGTTTTCTCGGGTGACGGCAGTTCTGGTTAGTGGAGCGGGGCGTGTGTGTGTGTGTGTGTGTGTGTGTGTGTGTGTGTGTGTGTTTGTGTGTGTGTCCTCCAATACGCATTTCTAAACGAGGTCCCACGAAACCCAGTTCTGCCGACGCCCGAAAGGTTTCGAGAGTTTCTCAGAAGGCTGGAGGCCTTCGATCGAAACAGAAGAAGAAGCCACACAAACATAAACTTTTGACGCTGCGCGCGGATTTCTTGGATCTGCGCTGGGCCCCGCCGGCGGCGCCTCGGGCGCCGCCCCTGGCGCGCTCCGCGCGCCAGGGAGTTGGGTCCAGCGCGGATCTCGACAAACAATCCGCGCAGACCTCCAAACGGTTGTTATGCTCATGTTTTTTCGTTGTTCCTGTATCCGAGCCTTCCGAGAGGGCCCGCCCCCGCTCACTCCCCCCTGGGCGCGCCGCCGAACGTCCTCACGACGCTGGCCTGCCGTGCGTCGTTGCCCTCGCTGCGAAGCTCTGCCGACGCGGAGCGCTCTGCGCCGCCGGAGCACCGCCGCCGCCGAGCGAAGCCGCGCGGGGTCGGCGCTCGGCGCGCAGTGTCGTCACGGGCACGAGCCCTCCTCGCTCGTCGAGCCTTTCGTGCGCGACCTTCGGAGCCTCGGTCCTCGAGCGGGGGTCGAGGCTCGGGGCTCCCCGATCTGTGAGCCGAGTGTGCCGATCGATGCTCCACCGAGCTTCGGAGATCCGAGCGCCGATCCCCGAGCCTGGATCCTCGAGTCTTCTCCTCCTCCGCCCCCTGCCCCCCTGGCTCGCCGGCGACGCTGCTTTCGCACCTCCTCAGCTCGATTCTTTTGACAGGTTCTGCGGGGGAGTGCCCGTGCCTGCCTGTCGTGCTGGGAGGCTTCTTGCGCGCACGCGCGTGCCGGTGGGCCTTGGCCGCGGGGCGGCGCATGCGGCGCGCCCCTCGGTGGGGCACGCGCCATGTCTTCTGCTCGCACACTGGTCGGCCGGGATCTCCGCCTTCGGCGGTCGTTCTCGACTTGCTTCGGCCTTCATGCAAAATGTTGGGCGCAATTGATCTGCTCGCTTCCCGTACACGTGCAGTCACGCGTGGGATGTGCCATCGCCGGCTGAGGAGCAAGTGTGCGCGCGAATGTGCTTCCTGCAGCTGCAGCTCAGCTGTCGGCTGCGTCCGACGCGTGCTGGGATCTTCTGCACGTGCCCAAGAAGGGGGACACTCATCCTGCGCGAAGTCCCTGGTGGGCTATCACCGCTGGCCCTGACCCGCTGGCGCGTGGGAGGAGGAAGTGCGTGCGATTGTGAGTGTGTGTGTGTGTGTGTGTGTGTGTGAGTGTGTGTGGGTTTCCCGCCTCTGCCTCTGCGCCCCTCCCCTTGCTGCGGTGTTGGCCGTCCCTGCCGCCGCTCCCCTCCACGTGTCGGTTCGGCCGTTCGCCTCGCTGTCCTCGCTGCGGCCCTCCCTCTCTGGGCCGCGGCGCGCACCCGGCGCTCGTCGGCCCTCGCCCCCGCAGACCACGGGGACGCGCTTGGCGCCGCCCCCCTCTGCAGTCGGCGGGAGAAGCGGGCGAGGACTCTCGGGCTGCGGCGGGCCACGGCACTGCCCAGGGTGCGCTCGCGGCATGCTGCGGCTGTGGCCCGTCGCTGGGGCGCCCCCGGGCCTGCCCCTCGTGGCAGCCGCGGGGGTGCTGGAGGCCTGGGGCGCGCACTGGGCAGGGCCTCGACCTCCCAGACCCGTGGGTCGAGCACCCGTGGCGTTGCCGCAGAGGTGGGGCGAGGCCGGCAGCAGGCAGCTCTGCAGCGCCAAAGAGGAGTCGCACCACGCTGCCCGCCCTGTTCGGCAGCGCGCATCTGGAGGTCTCGGCAGGGCAGGCAGGTCAGCCCTGTCGAGCGCGAGACGCTGGAAAGGCGGGCGGCGCCGTGCACTCGTGACGCCGGCAAATGCCTGTGCGGTCCGCTGGGCTCGTGCAGCCGAGAAAGAACTTCTCTACGGCTTCTTTCCCCTTCCGTCTCTCAAGCCTCTCGGTTCCTTGCGCCCCTCCCTCATGTTGCCGCGCCTGTGCAGGATGGCCCAGTTCATCACCGGCTTCCGCGCCGCGGAGTTGTCTCCGGCGCGCGCATGGGCGAGGAGAGCTGCCGTGCTGCAGCAGGCTTCCTCGTTCCTGAATCGGAGGGGAGGCGGGAAAGGGTATCGGGTTGTAGCAGAGGCAGGGACGCAGCTCCTGCCCAGTCACACGATGCTGCTACGGGAAGCCCCGAAGTGTCGTGAGTTTTCTTCTGGTTCTCTTCTGTTGCGTGCCTTGTGCGTATATATGTACATATAAGTATAAACAAGACCGCCGTGCACGATATGCAACGACGCAAGTGGAGCCCGAGGAGGAGGAGGAGGAGGAGGAGGAGGAGGAGGAGGAGGAGGAGGAGGAGGAGGAAGAGAGGAGAAGGAGCATCGGGTGGAGGGATTTCCTAGATGCTGAAAGCATTGGCAGGAGCCCGTCACTCCTCCACCCTTCACACCTGCATCCCTTCAACATTCTGGATATCTCGCAATGGTTGCCAAATTTGCTGGGCAACAGACGTGCTGGGACACCCATGCACCATGACGCATTCCTTTTCCAGCTTTCCTTGCGTGCCGCCCAGCGTTCGGTGGAAGTCGGGGATGACGAGGTCGACCAGGTCTCGTGGGGTCTCAGGGGATTCTGGCGCCCCACGAGGTTTCCGACTCGGTTGCAACTCTTGGGAGGTTAGATTCGGCATCGGCGTCGGTAAAAACGCGGTCGGAAACCGTCCTTCTTTGGCCGAGTCCCGCCTAGCTGGGCTTACTTCCGTATGCTCCGCTTGGACCGTAGGCTTAACCTGTCCTGATCTGGCTCGGTAGCTCTTAATTTGGCGTCATATCCTTCGGACATCGTCCCATCCAGTGAACGGTTTCTTATTCGGCGTTTCGGCATTGGGCGGAAGGGAGTGGGAGGAGGGAGGTCTGGCTCTGGACCTTTGCTTAATGCGACTGTTTGCACACATTGCGTCCTATGGGGGAGACTTGACCTGCTCGAAACAGGCGCCCCAAACAGCCAAGATCTACTCCATGGGGGGGGAGGGGGGGTGCGAGGGCCTGCGCCGATCGGCAAAACAATAAAGAAGAAAGCGATCGCCAAGTCCTCTCAGGAATTGCCTCCTAACTTCCCCTCCTCCCCTCTCTTCTGTCCCGCGCCCCCCCTCGCTGACCGCTCGTGGTGTCATCATTGGCGAGCCACAGACCAAGAGCCGAACATCTGGCCTTGGCTTCCCGCAGTCCTGCTTCCCTCGCGGGCTTCTGGAGGCTCGGTAGTTGCCAGGAACATCATCGATCCTCTTCCTTCTCCCTCCTCCCTCCTACTCCCCTTGATTTCTCGTCCTCCTTCCTCCTCCGCCGCCGCCGCCGCTGCCTTCCCGGCGCCGCCCGCCGGTGGCGTGCGTCCGCCTCTGGCCGCCCCTTCGCCGCTGCCTCGGGCCACCGCCGCCTGGCGCCGCTGCCCAGCCGCCCGCCGCTGCAGCCCAGCGCGCCGCGCCCGTTGCCGCCGCCGCCGCCTGCGCCTCCTCCGTCGTCGTCCAGGGCCACCGCCGCACGGCGCCGCTGCCCAACCGCCCGCCGTGGCGGCCTGGCGCGCCACGTCCGCCGCCGCCGCCGCCGCCGCCCAGGCGCCCAGCCTTGCCAGGTCCAGGTGCCCCTGCGCCAGGGGCGGGGGTTGCGCGCCGCGCCCTGCGCGCGCCACAGCTGCAAGCCGCCTTGCTCGCCGCCGCCCCTGCGGCGCATCGCTTCTCGCGCGGCGAAGCACGCGGAGCGGAAAACCTTTGCGCTGTCCCGCTGCAGCATCGCCGTGAGGCTCTGACGCGCCGCCGCGAGCACTTTGGCGCGCCCGAGCGCCCCCAACGCTGGGGCAACAGCGGCGGCGCCGTCCCGGGCGGCGCGGCCCTGGCCCGCCGGCGTGTCCGCGCCGAGGGAGGCGCCAATAACCACCACGTCGACGTAGGCCATGACTACCGTGGGGTCCGTGAAGGCCAAGTCGAGGCGGGCGGCTTCCACGCTGCCGTCTTGGCGCACGCGGCCCCAGGTGGGCACGAATTGCTCCGTGCCCACGCCTGTCGCGCCGCGGGCGCCGAGCCACTGGGCGAGCCAGTCCCAGAAACCGTCGTGGCGTTGGATCGTGCCGCTTCCGATATGACAGCCCAGGAACTGTCCCGGCGTCGCGGTCAAGTCGGCTCCGCAGCGGGTGTCGTTTTCCTTGCTCCAGAGGCAGGTGGCGCTGGCGGCCGTTGGCAGGGGCAGCTGGAGACAGCGCGAGGGCTGGGAGGAAGTGCGCGTCCGCCGGCGCATGGTCTTCCCCAGTCGGCGGCGGGAGCCAGCTCCGCGCTCCCTTTTAGCTGGCCGAGCGTAGCTGCGCTGCCCGGTCTGGTGGCAAGATGCCCAGGAACCGCTGCCGGCGCGCGTGCTGCTTCGGCGCCGCGAGGGCGCGCTGCGCTTTAGCTTGGGGCTCCGCGGCGGCGTAGAGCCACGTCGCGCTGCGCACATGGAGAGCGCGGCCCGCTCCCTCAGCCGCTCCCCGCGCCGTCGGGCAAGCGCGCTGGAAAGCCCCGCGGCAGGGGATTCCGAGTTCACTGCGCACGCCTGCCAGGCACGCCTGCAAGTCCCCCACATGAGTGGACAATCGGCGGTGCGTCAGGCCCTGCAGCCCGACCGCCGCGGGCGCCGGGCGGGAAAGCCAGGTCGCGCGCGTCGTCTGGTAGAGTCTGGTGCCCGATGAAAAGGCCGCAGGATGCCGCAGGATCTCGTGCACGTGGCCCAGAACCGCTGCGTCGTATGCCCGGCACCACGCCTCGTCCAGCAGGTGCGCCCGCTCGTGGTGCAGAGTCGCGCCGTTGGCGCCTCCTTCTCCTCCTTTTCCTCCTCTTCCTCCTCCGCCTTCTCCTTCTCTTCCTCCTCGTCCTCGTTCTCGTCCTCGTCCTCGTCCTCGTCCTCGTCCTCGTCCTCCTCTTCGGTATCACTCACCACTCACCAAACCACCCCAACCCAACCCGAAGGCCTCAATTTGACCTCCATTTCCAGTTGGGGGGGGGTCGGGGAACATCGAGAAAACACATATGGAACCCGTACCCCCCCCAACCCGAAATTCGGGTCTTCGGGTTGGGTTGGGGTGGTCTGGTAGGTAGTCAATCACGGTATCACGGTTGTGTCTGAAGACCAAACGGGGCTCGGCGACAGACAAATATGGAGAGGGATAAACCGGGAAGCGCCATGGAGAAGAAGGAAGGCCGAGAGGAGGGAGGAATAGAGGGAAAGAGGATAATGGTGCTTCCGAAGTCCCCAGAAATAGGCGGGATGCCCGCGGCTTCCGCCATGGGCCTGCCCAAACGCGGAGCTGGCACTGCGCCCAGCCGCACTGTCCGTGGGGTGACTTCGCAGCCCTCCACCTGCCCTCCCCTATCCCCGGCCCTCCCCTCGAGAATTCTGCAGGCCGTGACGGAGGAGCCTGCTCGTGCATTCTGCTTCAGGAGGTGGAGAGGCGATGATGATGATGATGATGATGATGATGATGAGGAGGAGGAGGAGGAGGAGGAGGAGGAGGAGGAGGAGGAGGAGGAGGAGGAGGAGGAGGAGGAGGAGAGCAGGAGCAGGAGGAGGAGGAGGAGGAGGAGGAGGAGGAGGAACAGGAGGAGGAGGAGGAGGAGGGAAGGATTACCTCCTCCCCGTTCCGGGATTCGGAGGCCTGCACTGCGCCCGCCGCGCAGACCCAGCGTGGGCGTCCTCCTCCTTGGGGGGCACGCTGTGCTGGGCGGCAGGGCGGGGCGGCTCACCGCAGGCTCTCCTGGTGAGGCTCGTGGCGAGAAGCTGCGAGAGCTCCTGCAAAGACGCCTCCTTCGCAAGCGTGCCCTGGAGGCGGGCTTCGACCGCGGTCGAGATCGGGTCGCTGGCGTCCTTCTCGGACGGGACACGCGGCCCACTGACAGAGAGCCGGGTCTCGATGGTCGGGATGGCGATCCTGAGGTTGAGCTTGCCGAAGGTCTTGGCGTCCTGCTTGGGAGGAACCGCGAGCTTGATGGTGTGGTCTCCGACGTCCAAGGCCTCCGTTGTAGAGAAAGCCTCCTTCTGGTCGGACTCCTGATCGTCGTCGGCTGCACCAGCGGATTCCTCCTGAGCACCCTCCAGCTCCACCCCCGTCTGCGGGCAGCTCCTGGAGGCAGCTGCAGTTTCAAGTCCACGGCCGAAACGGCGTTGTTGATGAAGCTTCCGGCCTCCGAGGCCTCCTCGATGGAGAAACCGTCCTGGTCAGATGCCTGCTCGTCGTTGGCTGCACCAGCAGACTTTTTCGTGAAAGCCCAGCCTTCCGTGACCTCGCCAACGATGGTCATCGTGCTTTGGTTGACCTTTTGGGCGACGAGGCTGAACAGGTCTGTCCGCAGCGTAAGGAGAAGATCCTTGATGTCCTCCAGCATCTTTTCATTCGAAGCACCATCCGCCTCCGAACCGATGTCGAAAAACTCGGTCTGATCACCCGTCGAGATCGACTTGCTGGAGGCCTTGGTCCGTTCGATGTGCTGGGGTTGCACCTTTTCCGTAGCCTGGTGTTCAGGTTCCCGCTGGAACAGCCCGCTCTCCTCGCCGAAGGCGGCGTCCTCCGAGGCCGACTCCGTGGGGATGCCGCCACCGCTGCCCTCCAGCAGTGGCTTGCGAAGGGCCTGCAGCACCTTCTGCGGCAAGCCTGCGGCGGGTGGGTGGGCCACCGCTCGCCGCCCCTGCCGCCAGAGCACGAAGTCCTTCGCGAGGTCTCTCTGCCCCCGTTGCACCAAGCCTCACCGAACGTCCTCCGTCTGGACCTTCCTGTCGAGGCCGAGGGAGCCCTGCGCCTCGTCCAGCAAGGACTGGAACTCCTTGAGTTGTTGCATGTCGCCCTGCCCGCCGAGCTTGGCCATGAGCTCTGCCGCCTCCTGGACGGACCGCACGTGGGCCACGCAAGAACCGTGCCGGACAGGAATGCCACCACCGCGCGCCATGTCAGCACCGGTGGGTGAAGCTTCGCACCTGGAGGGCCGCGCAGCGCCGTATGAAGACAAATGCAGTAGGTGAACTGGAGGAATCTTGAGCCCAAATGGCTACGGATGTTCCTCCTCCTTTTCCTCCTGCTCGCCGTCCTCCTCCTCCTCCTGCTCCTCCTCCTCCTCTTCCTC